CCCGCAGTAGCCTTCCCGGATACCTGGCTTCTCTGGAGCGGGGCCTAGAAGGTGCTGAGAGCTCGAATGCCTGGGCTCTCTGGGAGAGCAAATCACACCCCTCCTGGCCTGCGTGGGATCTTGGGGTCAAGAAGCCAATCCAGGCCTTTTACTGTGTGTCATGTACCCAGTACTGCACCCTTGCAACAGGAGATTCTCCCAGCCTCCACAGAGATTGCAGTTGTCTCTGGGGTGGGCATTGGGCCCAAGTCTAATGGGACTGCTGCTGAGTCTGGGGTGGGACCAGGGGCCGGGTGTACTGGGGCTACGGCCAGCTTTGGGGTGGCATCAAAGTCTGCAGCTGAGTCTGGGGTAAACCTTGACAGCCGAGTGTAACGGAGCCCCTCCCTTCCCCCTGGGCCCTTCATGCCATTCCCCCCCACCAGCTAAATATAGCCAATCTGGGACTTTGGCCAGGGGGCCTGTGATGGGGGTGGGTGTTTCCCCCACCTGTCACTCTCCTGATTGGCTGGGGGAGGTCATGTGGCAGGAGCTGGGCCCAGTGACCCAGCAGAGGACAGCCCGGAGCGATGGCGCCGTGGGGGAGAGTGGCCCTGATCCTGGCTCCAGGCCGGGGCTTCGCCACTGCTGCTGCCCATGGAGGAGGTGCAGGTACTGCAGGGCAGGGAAAATTCTGGTCTGATCCACAGGCCACAGCCCCACTTTCTACCCTGTTATACTCGGCTGGGTCCACCCCGGAGCTGGTTGCATCGTGGCTCTCAAGGACTCTGTGTGTGGAACTGGGGGGGGGTGGGGGATTTCCCTTCTGGGGGTCCCGATCCTGGGCCTTGGCACCCAACCAGGGCAAAGGCCTAAATACTGCCATTTCCAGGCCAGCTGGAAGTGGGTGGTAGGGGGCAGGGGACCCTCCAGGGGGCCCTGGGAGGGGATGGGAGGGGGTACCAGCAGGTAAAGTTGCATATTGTACATGAGTAAATATGGTAGCTCTCTTTTCCCCACACACGTATCCCCCAGGATAGGCCTGGGGTGGCACCAGGGAGGTACAAGGGGGCAGGGGGCAGTTTGGAGACCCCTGGGGTGGGCAGGAAAGGGGGGGATACCAGCAGGGAAAGGTGCATATTTTACACAAGTAAATACAGTAGCTTCCTTTTCCCCACACATATATCCCTCCAAGACAGGCTTGGGGTGGCACCAGGGGAGCACAAGGGGGTGGGGGGGCAACTTGGGGACCCTCCAGAGGACAGTGGGGGGGACAGAAGACAGGTGCCAGCAGAGAAAAGCGCATATTGTACATGAGTAAATGAGGTAGCTCCTTTTCCCCCTGCACAGAGCACCCCTCTGGGGAATGGCCCCAGGGGGATATGAGGCGGCAGCTTGGGGACCCTCCAGGGGCCACTGTGGGGGGCAGGAGAGGAGGTGCCAGCAAGGAGCAGTGCATATCTTACACAAGTAAATATGGTAGCTCCCTTTATCCATCCACAAAGTATCCCAGGGCAAGCCAGGGCTGGTCCTGCGTGGGGCCTAAGGTGTCGGGGACCCTCCCGGGGGGTGTCCTAGATACAATGGCACCCTCTTGAGGCTCCGCCCCCACCCCGGTGCCTGCAGGCCAGACATGGCGGATGCTGTCCTTCTTCGTGGCACTGCCCGGCGTGGCCGTGTGCATGCTCAACGCCTGGCTGAAGAAGCAGCACCACCCCCATGAGCCCCCCACCTTCGTGCCCTACACTCACCTGCGCATCCGCACCAAGGTACCCAGGGGCAGAGCCAGGGGACCTGGGAACAGGGCGCAGGTGGGGCTCGAGGAGGGAGAGGGGAGTGAAGCAGTGGGGGCAGAGCTGCAGGGAGATGGGGTAAGGGGTGGGGCCCGGCCAGGAAGAGATGGGCTGAGGGGAGGAGTCAGAGATAGGATGGGGCAGAGTTAGGGGGTGTGGGAGGAGAAGAGGGTGGAGGAGCTGGGTGGTGGGGCCTGAGCAAGGAGGGGGTGGAGTCAGGGGAGATGGTAGAAAGGGGTGGAGCCTGGGTAGGGAGGGGACGGAACCACAAGGAGATGGGATGGCGATAAGAACGGGGCAGAGGAGCTGGAGGCGGAGCCAGAGGGAGGCAGGCCCTGAGCAGGGTGAGAGCGGAGCCAAGGAGAGATGAGCTGCAGGGCAGAGCTAGGGATAGGAGAGGAACATGGGAGCTGAAAGGGAGCAGAGGGCCTGGGGGTGGGGCTTGGGCAGGGAGGGGGCAGAGCTAGTGGAGATGGACAGGGGGCAGAGCTTGGGATATGTGGGGGCGGAGCCACAAGATGGGCTTCAAGGATAGGAAGGGGCACAGCCAGGGGATGAGGGGGCAGAGGGGTGGAGTCAGCAGTGACAGGCAGGGGGGCATGGCCTTGGAGGGTGGAGCCTGGCATAGGAGTGGGTGGAGCCAGGGGTTATGGGAGCAGAGGAGATGGGCCAGGGAGGAAGGGGGAGGCATGGATAGTATTTCAGGAAGGGGGCAGCGCCGGCTAGGCCTGACCCCACTCCCTGTCTCTCTCCCCACCCCGCAGCCCTTCCCATGGGGCGACGGGAACCACACGCTGATCCACAACCCCCACGTCAACCCCCTGCCCACGGGCTATGAGGTGCCCGCTGGGGGGCACCACTGAGCTGCCCGCCGGCACCACCGGGGGCTCCACTGACCTGCTGCTCCACCCCGGGATGCCGACTTGCTCCAGCTCCAGCTGCCACCACCCGGGGACACTGACTTGCTCCAGCTCCTACCGTCGCCACCCAGGGACACCGCCAGCCGCACAATAGAGCCGCTGTGATGCAGCCAGGGGTCCATCTTTATTGGATGAGGGCCTGGGGGGGTGGGGCATACTCTTGGACGCCTGGGTGCCCTGACTGAGGCGGAGGGAGATGGCAGGGGGAGGAGGGAAGGGAGAGACACACACACACACCTGAACACACAGAACCCAGGTATCCAAGGTGGGGGTCAGACCTACTGTTGCGGGGCACTGGGGGTGGGACCAAGGGCAGAGCCAGGGGTGGGGGCGGAGCCTTCACCCTCCTTGGCTGACTCCATCATCTCCTTGTACTGGCGGCGGAAGAAGCCAAACTGGGGGAGAAGGGGACAGAGGGGAAATGTGAGACACCCCCATAGCCCTGCCCCCAACCAGGCCCTGCCCCTTAGAGGGGCCCAAGAGACTCCATCCCCCAGCTAGGCCCCACCTCCTAGTGGTGCCCACCTCCCCATCACCCTCCCAGAGCTACACTCCTGTAGCCCAGCCCTCTCTCCCACACAAGCCACGCCTCTTCTCCCTAAGCTCCACCCCACTTAGAAAACCCCCTTCTCATTAAAGCTCCACCCCCAAGACCAGCCCTACTCCAGCAAGTCCTGCCCCTGGAAGAGCCCTGCCCACAGGGGCTCAGCCTCTCTCCCCACCCCCATCCCAGACCAGCCCCCTACCAAAGCTCTGCCCCTTCCAGTAGGCTCCACTCCCCTTGAGTTCTACCCATGCACTTAGGTCCCGCCCCAACTATATCTTAGGCTCCGCCTCCAGGGGAAAATTCAGTTGTGCTCCTATCTCCACCAAGCCCCATCCCCTCGTCTTACCCCTAAAATGACCCCTGCCTCCAACATTGCCCCCCCATGATAGCTCAACCCCACTGGCATAGCCCCGCCTCCTGCCCTCACCTTGTAGAGGGCAGCAGTGATGAGAGCCAATAGAAGGAGGCCCCCGATGGAGCTGCCCACAATGATGGGCACGTAGTTGTAGATGTGGACACGCTCCAGCACCGTCTGCACCTGGGGGACCAGGACATCCGGGGGGGGCAGGATCAGGGACCTAGCCCTCCGTCCCCACCCCCCTTTCCCAAAGAACCCAGGTGTCCAGCCTCCCTCCACCCCCCAGAGAACCCAGGTGTATGGGCTCCCAGAGTCCCCTGCTCCCTCCCTCCACCCTGCAAGAGAACCCATGTGCCTGGGCAACCAGAATCCCCTGCTCCCACCCTCCTCTCCCCGCCCCCCCCGCCAACCGAGAGAACCCAGGCACCCGGGGCCCCTACCTGGTGCCGCACCGTCCCCTGCTGGTGGAAACGCCCTGGGTCTGCGCCCACCTCGGCTGTGCTCACCAGCGTCACCTTGTCCCGCCCCGTCTGCCGAACGCATGTGTTAGCCTCAGCCCTGCTCCGTGCTGCTGCTGGGGGCTGGGCCTGTTCCCCTCATTTGCATGGGGCTTCTTGGAGCCAGAACCCGCCCCCACCAGGTGAGAGGAGTGAGGGGTCCCAGGACAGTGATTGGCTGGAATTTGTCGGGTGCCCTGCGTCACCATTGCAAGGCCTGGGTTGGAGTCAGGGGCTTTCACTGGCTGGGATGTGGGATGGGGCTGGGTGGTGATTGGCTGAGCTATGGCAGGGGTCACAGGTTGTCATTGGCTGGGAAAGGCCAGGAATCCTGTGCTGTGATTGGCTGGGATGGGCTAGGGGTCATTGCTGGTGATTGGGAGTGAGGTCAAGTGTCATGATTGGATGAAATGGCTCAGGGGTTGTGATTGGATGGGACAGGCCAGGTGACTGGCTGCGATGTCTTGGGGTGTTGGGCTACGATTGGCTGGGATCTATCAGGAGGCCTGGCTCATGATAGGCTGGGATGCACCAGGAATCCTAGCTCACAATTGGCTGGGATGTGTCAGGGCTCCTGTGCTGTGATTGGCTGGGAGTTATCAGGAATCTTGAGCTGTTATTGGCTGGGAGGTCTCGGGGCTCAGTTGGGGGCTGGTAAAACAGGACTGGATCTGCACCCACCTCTGGGGTGGGGCACTAGGGAACCCAGGAGTCCAGCTCCCGGAGAGGGGAGGGAGAGGGGCAGGGGACGGGGGCGAGGCCACGTACCTGGGAGAACCAACCGAAGGAGATGTTCCCAGTCAGGACGAACTCTAGGGGCTGCTCCATGTACACGGCTGAGACATTGCACCGCACTCGTTGGCAGGTGGTCACGGCACAGCCCTGGGGCATCATGGGATAGCGTGAGGTGGAGGAGCCCAGATGCCTGGGTTCTCCAAGATGGAGCCTGCAGTGGCCAACACTCACCAGCAGGGGGCTCTTTTTCATCTCCTCACTCACGTCCTTGATCCCAGGTGTCTCAGGCAGCGTGTAGCAGTTGGCCAGCTGGGGGGCAGGGGGAGAGGAAGTGGGGGACACAGGGTTGGACTTCCTCCTCCAGAGGGCACCACCTGGTGCCTCATTCCCCTGGGTCATTCCCTTCTGGCTCCACCCCAGAGCTGGCCACATCCTGGCTACATTCAGAGGGTGGGGAGGGAGCTGGGATCGGTCACCTCCAGAGGCCCAGATCTGGGGGCAGGGGGTGGGGAAAAGGGTGGGCAGTACCTTGGGGGCGGTGACCCACATGGGGACCCCGTTCACGGCCACGGGGAACTCAAAGGTCACCCACAAGGGGGGGCTGCGCTGGCGGAGGTTCCGGATCTGGGGGAAGGAGAGGACGAGAGTCACAGTGGGGAAACCCAGGTGTCTGGGATCTAGCTCCCCTGCTGTCACCCCCCATCCCAGGCATCCAGGTTCCCAGGCCCCCTGCTCTCCCCACCACAGCCCCCACTCTCCTCCTGAAGAACCCAGGCATCCGGGCTCACCTCGTATCGGTGGATCACAGTCCTGGTGGCCTCCTCCTCCTTGCTGGAGAAGTTCGTGTACTGGGTGGAGTCCTCTCCACTGGGGGGCCAGAATATGACAGGGGGTGAGGGGGGCCATCGGGGGCATCGTGGGGCGGAGGCCCAGCAGGGGATAATGGGGCGCACAAACCAGGTCTGTGTCATACATAAGAAAATATGGGAATCCCCTTTGGTCTTAGGGGGCACTAGGGGGCAGTGAGTGGGTCCAGCAGGTGTCATGGGGCCAGGGCCAAGATGGTGGCACCATTTTGGGGAGATGGTGCATGGTATAGACTACAAAATATTCCATCCTGCCTTGCAGTGGGGACTCAGCAGGGGTGCTGCAGATTGGAAAAGGGCATGTTATACATGAGGAACCAGGGTAGCTCCCTCAGGCCTTGCAGGGGGCACTAGGGGGCAGGAGAGCAGCCCAGAGTGTATAACAGGTGACTGTATACATGAGGAAATACGGTAGCTTCATATGGCCTTGCAGCTGGCAACAAGGGGCAGGAGGTTGGCCCAGAGAGTATAACAGGTGAGTATATACATGAGGGAATATGACAGCTCCCTCTGATCTTGTAGGGGCAAAAGATGGCAGGGAGCGGGCCCATCAGGGAGCACTGTATGGGGAAAAGGGTGCATGCTATACATGAGTAAATATGGTAGCTCCCTCTGGCCTTGCAGGGGGCACTAGTGGGGCAGCGGACAAGTCCAGGGTGGCGGGGGCAGGAGCTGAAGCCTGCCAGGGGGCGAGGCCTTGGTTTCAGGGGGCGGGGCTCCCCTCCTTACCGCCCCCCATCCCTTGGCCCCACCTACCCGGTGATGATGATGTGGATGGCATACTTGACTGGCAGCTCCACGCTCTGGCTCTTGCTCTCATTTCCAGGGCCATGGTTGTCACTGGGGACCGAGAGGGTGGGGTCAGAGGCGGAGCCTACCGTGCTAGGCCCTGCCCCTGGATAGAGACCCCTCCCACTGCCCCCTAGGTCTGGGATCCACCTGCGGGTGACGGCCAAGAGCTGCAGGCGGTCGCCCAGTTCAGCCGTGGTGGGCACATCCAAGGTGGTGGCAAAGACAACCTGGGAGGGAGCAGCAGAGTGAGCCATGCAGGGGGCGGAGCTTGGGAGGAGGGGGGCGGAGCTAGGCCTGGGGATGGGGAGGTGGGACCC